CCCCCCCTAATTTAGAATGACCCAATATATGGGCGGCCCCTAAACAGTTGTGCGATAGTAAAGATAAAGGTGCATTCTAAAAGCCTTACAAATAAACACGATATAAAGTTAAACTTAGGAATAAACTGAATAACAAATGTTAGTAAAAATTCTGCTTATACTCAATTTATTCCTAACGAGCTGTTTCCCGCGACTTCGTACGCGTGGTATTAGAAAACATACGAACTATATAAATTACAAAAAGCTACGTATCCCTCAAGAACCGGACATTTCTCGGGGATGAAGCTTATCCCATCTGTACTCCAGACTTTGTTTTGTATCTGTGCCAAATTTCAATAAAATATGTTGATGCGTTGCAGAATGATCGAGTAAACATTAAAAATCTAAATTAATGAATCCCACGGGAACCGTAACTATTCCCGGGATAAAAAGTAGCCTATGTGTTCTTTCAGACTATGCTCTAAACCTGTGCCAAATTTCATGGAAATCAGTTCAGGCTACAAACGCTAACATCCATGCATCCATCCATCCATCTAAACTTTCGCATTTATAATATTAGTAAGAAGTAAGATTTTATACCGCATTTATAAGTAAGGCTATTAAAGTAAAAAAAAAATACTTGAAATAGTATATCAAATAAAGATTCCATAAAATACAATGCTTTTATGCTGCATGTAAGAGCATCAGTATAAAAGCATTGCATACTCATTCTATTGTAACTATATCGTCTTATCTTCTCGATTATTAAAAAATATGTATTTAAAAGTATATCAATTTTAAACCAAGCTTATTTTTTCCAGACCAACACCAGTGGATTGGTCAGCTGTAGGATATGATTCAAAGCCGACGATGTTCACACTCCGACCCGTCGACAACAACGAGGCATACACAACAGCGATTACTTTCATCGATCAAATTGGCAACAAAATTATTCGTACAACCGAATTCGTAGCAGACATTTTGAAAAATACCGTACGAGCTGTCGTTGGCTGAACACAATAAGCCAGTATAATCTGTATTATAACAGATTGTTGTCAATTATTTTGATAGCATAACTATTTATTTTATTATTAGTTTGCTATGCTTTGGCTGAACGGCCCTTGCCTATAAATTATTTATTAAATTACTCAAAGACGATCAAGTAGCGTAAGGAAAATATATTACAAAATTTGTTTTCTCAAATATCAACTACTCGGTAAATCTCAAAATCTTGTTGTAAATGTAGTATTTCTGATTTTCTATTATATTTAAGTTCATTTTAAAATGTTTTTAAAATGTTTGAAAAAAGTAGTCAAAATTTCACAAAATATCGATAACTAGAAGTTAAATATTTTTTACAGCTATACTATAAACATAAAGTTAAAAATATATTTGGGGTAATGAAATTAATGTCTATAAAATTCTATTTAAAAATCTAGTCAAAGAAAATCCGATTGATGTTATTATCATATCACAAGAATATGTTTAAAATACATATTGTACAAAAATATTTTCGCACTTCTGCAGCTTCTCCAAAAAATTACTAAAGGTTGTTTTTTCCGAATTCACAAATTATTTTTGTAATTAAGTTAATAATTTAAGTTGTCAGAGATTTTATGTTAAGTCGTAAGTAATAATTTTTTACGTGATGTATTGTGTGTTTTAGTTTGTAAGCGCCTAATAAATTTTAATAGCAAATTTTTGTGTTTGATTTTCCTGCTTTTCTATTGCTACGCAAAATAAGCAAACATGTGCAAAGAAATATGTACGTTATAAGCATACATTTTTATTATTTTAATTTACTTTAATAGAGTATGCATCTGAATTTTATTCATGTCAAATAGATACAATTAAAGAATTTGGCGTTATCCCACCTCAAAAGCTAGTCGTTTGAACGTTCTGTACGAACTATGGCGTCGAAAACGCAGAACAGTAACCAATAGAACGCAGCTTTTAAATGCGTTTACAAAAAATGCGGGTGCAATGGCGGCTACTTTATTGACTACTAGCTTTAGACCGCGGCTCCGTTCGCGTGGAATAAAAAAAAACAAAAGCGTGTAGCCTATGTGTTCTTCCAGGTTATGATTTATCAGGCTTCCATTCATCCATCTAACTTTTACATTTATAATATTAGTAAGATTTATAAGAGTAGGATTTTATCCCGTTGGAATTAATTACACAAATATCCTGTAAACAGAATGCCGCGGATGTCCGCGACTGTACGCACAAACTAACTATTTTAACAAAAGTTTATCAAAAATGATAAAAGGTGACCCTCAGGCAGTTGACTTTAGATTAGTGCGTTCATATTTATGTATTCGTATTACGTAAAAAAAAAACATTATATAATGTAGTAGTTCTAAGGAAGTTTTTTTTTAAATGACAAATTTCAAAAAGTTACTCACGATCTACTTTCTAATTCAAACTATTGTGAAAGTGGTTGACTGATGGCATACAATTTAAAATACTAATTCCTCTGCCACAAATATCTATGTATGTATATTTGTTGATAAGTACGACTAACTACCTGTAAAAGATAAAAGGTTGTAACAATGAATCTAATACCATAGCCAAAATAAAGCTTTTGAATCAGAAACTTTAATCAAAAATTTTGAGGTTAGAAACATTTATCTCTACTTTATTAAGAAATATGAAAGAGACAATATTTTTTAAATGTACCACGGATATTCACCATTTATCTAAAAAACAACAAATTAAGCTTATTGTCGAAATAATTTTCCGCAACTCCGTGACGCATATTGCTTGTGATGTATCTAACAGGGACTTTGGATGAAAAATTACGGGGTAATACCCACAGGTGACGCGGAATCGATAGAATAAGGAAAACGAGTGATATAAGTACACATGTATTTACATTTACAACTTCAAAAAATCTATGGGTATTTCCAACCCATTGAAGACAATTAAAAAAAAGCTGATTAGGATATTAGTTCTTAAATGTTTGCTTAATGTCAACGAAAATTATGTTTTGTAAATAACTGGACATTACAAGAATTAACTCATATAAATCAAAATTATTGACAATATTACTTTCAATCTTTGGAGAAAATTCTAATTTAAGAGTTAAAATAAACTAGCATGATCTGATCTCATAAAACCATATTATTTTTTAATTCATCAGCATATAGACATCAGTCAATGTCTAGTAATGATTTGGTCAACTAAGGCAAAAATCAAGAACATTTATTTCATCACATACTCATTTATTCAATACACATTTACAAGCAACATTTATTAAATAGAAATTATATTTCCGCTTAAAATAATGAGATTGTTCCCTTGTATATAATACAATCAAAATTTCACAAAAGTTCTGCATACTTCATTATCATTTACATGAGCCAATAATATCTTTTCTTAAATATAAGTCACATTCATAAGATAAACATAATTTTGAACATTTAATAACTTAGTACATCTATACTTGTACAAGTATATATGTTAAAGTTAGAAAAAATTGTGCTATGTGGCACAGGCAAGATCTACTATAAAACATTTATTGTGACAGCACATATTACAATATTTTATCTGTTTACTGAACGATTAATTCTGTGACATTATCCTTTGTGACAAGCGCTACTAAGCTGCCGCTGGCTGGACGCTCCTCCCCCTTCATCCACTTATCAAATAACTGAGCTACAAATGTCAACGGGGTCCAGGTACCAAAGTCAGCTTTAGGCATCCATTTCCTGTTCATTTCTGTATCCAATGTCACAGGCATAATAGCTACCGCTAAGGAATTTTCTGGAAGTCCAGAATCCTTACTACCAAGTGACTTTGTTAGCTGATGTACTGCAGCCTTCGCCATACCATAGCCAATCATGCCTGGAGTACCTTCTAAAGCAGCCTTAGCACCGGTCAACGCCAATAATCCTCCAGGAGTTAAATATGTAGCAGCAAGAGAAGCGGCGATAGTAGAGCTCCATACTGACTGACGCCACATTAAATCCGCTTGCTTACTTAATTCCTTGGCCGCATTTCCACCAGCCCAACCGCCGGCTACACATATCACGGCATTCACTTTCTGACCTTGCAGCGCCGTGCCGAGTTCCTTCACGACATGCTCCTCTTGCTGCAACCACGACGCGTCTTTCGGCACTGTGATGTTGACGTCCGCGTTCTCGTTCGGGTTTAAATCGATGCTGGCCACCCAACAGTTGGCTTGTTTAAAATGATTTACACATGCTGCCCCCAAAGCACCGCGTCCTCCGTAAACGACAATTCTGCTGGTCGCCATCGCCACGTCTTACTTTAGCCGCGTTTAAAAACTTACTAACTATATTACAATAAAGCAACAAGTATCAAGTTATCGGGTAGGGCTTAAACGATACGTACTGCGCTAAGTTAGCTTCAGTCTGTCTCGTGCGGTAACCTCGACACTCACTTTTTATCAAATTCTATGACACAAATAACCATATGACCACGAAGGTTATTAAAGTTCGATGAAATTAATTGTTATTTAACCGCCTTAAGACACGAGAAAAGTCTGATAAGAACTCAGTGCATTTATGTTTATGAATCAACAGTTCTCGTTCTCGATATCTAACCGGTCAATACTTAATGCGCAGGGCCAAACTATGCGCAGAGGAATTTTAGAATTCAGTTTTTGGTATTATTAAAAATTATTTAAATTACTTATTTTCACGGTAAATAATGTATACACATTTTTTTATTATTGATTTAATTACTTTAAAACATCAATTACGTTAGCAAATTAAAAAAACTTGGTCTACGCACAAACGGTAGTTTTTTTAGTTATGTCAAATAAAGTGTCTTTTGTTCTCTTTATTTTCAAACCGTATTTGTATGCTGTTGATCTTTTATATACAATACAGACTTTGGAATTTCACGAACAAAACGTACATACGTCTACAACAGCTTACACTACATTTTATAAATGTCAACACCAGTGCTTACATTGGTTTACTTTCGAATTGTGATTTATTTTATAGTCATCTAACACCCTTCCAACATCAAAATTGAATATAAAATAAGATATAATACCTCCCTGTTATTAGCTGTCAATCGACAGTGACAGCTAGACCTGTGTTAATTAGCTCGGAATTGGCTCAAAGGATCATATACTTGAATCGTTGAGTTGCAACTCAACAACTGAATTGGCAACTCGATGCTTAACGAATTGATTATAACCGAACCGCGACCTAACAGGTCACTTGCAATTCGCAGCTTCAATCAAAACGCAAATCATAACATACGCAGGTATAAATAAATCTGAGCTACGAGTCAGTCCACTGATCGGCTTTACACATGGGTAACGTGAGCTGATCTGCAGTTCATCAATTATAGTTAAGTTATTTGTGAGACTTGACTAGTTCCAGCTGACATTTGCCATCATTGGACGTGTCAAAAAATCGCATTTTTGCTTTTTTAAATTCTTGAATACGCCATCAGCCATTATCATCACATTGCTCTCAAATAGACACATTCTACAGTTACTGGTTGCTGGCCAATTCGCACATATTTGTGTTTCGGCTTTAGTAGTTAACTTCTGAACTGTGATAATTTTCCATGATTTCTTGGTTTTACATCTGGAGCGCGCTATTTTAAACACAACTTAAAATAAGCTAACTTGTGATTTCTCTTACATTATATAAATAGAATTTAAACGTTTTTATTACAAATTGTATCGGTAAATAAGTATTTAAATAATTTTATTGTTAATTTTTTTTTGACGTGTTTAAATAAAACGCAGATTAAAAGGCGTAAATTATTTATTATAACATCAAAATATCAAATATTGAGTCGGACGTAAATAAACTTATTAAATAATCTAATTTATTTCTAATTTGCAGACATTGTTTTTGCTGTTTACGAATAGGTACGAAACACAATACACTTCACATTACTTTCATGTAAGAGATTACAGTTTTGTATACATGAGTAAAATTGGACTATCTAAACCTATGTAATAGTGAAATTCATAAAAAAATCTTTAAAATTTTGTAACTATATAATAATTATACATTTACGTTCGTTGTCGAATAGTCATCAATATGCATTGAATAAAATACACTTATAACAATGTTTAACGTGATACTTATTATTTTGAATATTAAACTTGTATTGTTCAATATTTCTGCTTTTTGTTGATCTCGAACATGATTTATATTGAAAATTAAACTCAGCACAACAGCGACTACCGCAGAAACTGCCTATGAAAAAAAAACGAAATTAAAAAAATCATAGTTAAATAAACACTGGCACATAACACAAAAAATAAATAAAAAGAAAACAAAGCCTTTAAGGGAATTAATAAACACTGGCACACAATACAAAATTGATACAAAGCAAAGGGCATTTTTCACATGGACCAAGAAAATTGTTGGACAACCAAAAATATTCATATTTACATAACATTCGGTTGCAAACATATGCTTGCGTTTTTATGACAGAAAATTGAAATTATAAACATTTTGTTTGTGCTCAAGACCTCGTTTTGTTTGGGTAACCTTTGGAACGTCTGGACCGATGTTGTGAGCAGGTAAAATTCTCGGTTTCTAATAATTTTACTTGTACATTATGAAAAAGGACCTGACATACTTGTTGGCATTTTTTTAGATAAAATATTGTTTGTCTTAAAACTTTGTAATCTCTAACTATTCCTATAATAATCTTGTTCGGAGAGAGCTGGGTCGAATCCGAACGTCATTTTGATAACGTCACAGAAGACCACGCCTGTCATCAGCCCGACCGACAAGTGGTAAAGACCATCAGCTATCTTCTTTCGTTTTTGATTATGCTCGTCGTCCAAAGATGATATTACAAGAGCCAGTATTCCCGCAATTGCCTGTGTTAAAACAAGACTTTAGAAAACGACCCGCTGTACTTGAAAAGAAGATTATGAAATATTTAGTTATGGCAAAATAATAAAAAAAAAACTAAAAATAAACTTAATTCTATGTAACTGTAGTATTCAATTTTCGCATATATTCACTATTAATTAATTTTAATCGTTCTAAAACTAGAGGATTGTTGGAGTATTCAATTCCGAACGCTGAGATCACTATATTGAGAACAGATATGGTGAAAATGAAGATAACGATGACGTCATTAAGGATAATGGCGGACGGCTGATCTTGATGGTCGTTTAGGTCCAGACCGCCGATCACAACGAACATTAGCCCAACGAGCAACTACAAAAGTAAAAATCCTTAATTGCAAATATAGTACAAATGTTATCGAAAATGACTCACAAAGAACGTTCATACATGGCTCTCTTAAAGAAATGTAACAATTAAGTCATATTTTTATAGATCCCTTAATTATCTAAAGTTTTTTAAGGATTTATCCAATCAAGTACGACCAATACACTTGTATAGCATTGCTTTGTAAATTCCCAAACGTGTAACTAGTAACAAAACTATGTAACATTGTAATTTATTGTGCAGTTTTTAACCCTTACAATGCATCTATATTATTTACGTGATGATGGTGGCACTAAAGGTATTATATAACATCGAATTCCATATATCTAGCCAAAGAAGAGTCGAAAGCGGACACAAGAACATTGAGCACGGTTACTACGAAGGCGGTTGCTGTTGTCAAGTAGTTGATACTGAGTGCGGAGGCGCGGTGCCGCGGCTGCTGGAAGCGGCAGTCGCGTAGCAAGTTGAGAGTTAACAGGACCAGACCCATCGCCACCTACACACCGCCGTCATCATCAACATCTCCCCTACCTTATCCTACTTCCATAGGGTCGGCGCACCGGGTTTTCGTCCTCCATATAACTCTATCATCCGTCATCTCAGTCATCACTTCCTTTTTTATCATGTCACCTTTTACGTAATCCATTCATCTCTTTCTAGGTCTACCTCTACCGGTGTACCTCCACATTCATAACTAACGTCCTTCTTGCATGCGATTCATCCCTTCTCATAACTTGCCCATATCACTCTAACCTAATATTACGATAATCTAACCAAAGTTTATGTATGAATCAATTTAAGTAGGTAATCTATTTATATTTTATAGACACGACTATTTAATTTACAGTTATTTCATCTGCCTTTATGTTAAGGGAATTAGTTAGGAAACTCTAATGCAAGAGAAGAATTAAATCTTACTCCACGGCCAAACAAAACAAAACCGACTTCCAAACAAAATACACGAAAAACAAAACAAAATGCACTAAAAACAAAACAAAATACACCAAAAACAAAATAT